AAAGAGTGTCAGAATCAGAATCCTCAGACCCTTTTGGAGAATGCCCCAGACAACAAGCCGTCGACCTGTCAGAATCGATGGATGGAACCATCAAAGCAAGAGAACGTGATGCTGATGATGCTGCTGAGGAAGAGGAGCCACTTATCCACTCTGTTGAGTGTCGTATATGCCAAGAGGAGGACTCTGTCAAGAATCTAGAAGTCCCCTGTGCCTGCAATGGCAGTTTGAAGGTAATTTTGAAAAATGACTTTTAAAAGTTTTAAAATTTTTCGAAGATCTCGTTGTTCTTTGTAATGATCGGTTACCCGTTTGAAGTTTCTCGTGGATTTGATTTCCCCCAGTTCGCCCATCGGAAGTGTGTTCAGCGTTGGTGTAATGCGAAGGGCGATACCACCTGTGAAATATGCCATCAGGTGCTCAGCCATTGATTTCCGTGTTTGTGTTTCCATCAAAATTTATGATCCATCTTTACTGAATGATTCACTATTGGTAAATATATTTCACTCTTGGACGAAGAAATGATCGGCTAAAAACCCAGTTTTGTTCTTGATAGTTGCAATGTTATGCCATGCACATACAAATATCGAGTAGTTGCATAACAACTCATGCTTCTGAGTATATGTTTGCTTATGTATGCTTATAGTCGGTCGTTCATTTGGTTATGATCTTGGATTCTTATATTTGTTACCCGTATTCTTGTCAGAATTTAAAATTTGACCTTTCTAAATTTCATATTGTTTTCCCTCTGATTGCACAGCCTTACCGACCTGGTTATACAGCTCCCCCTCCTCCCTCTGATGATACCGTAATCGACATTGGGTAAGATTTCTCAATCTGTATGTATGTCCCAAATATCTTCATATAATATGCATGAATATTCTTATCATGACAAAAAGATTTCACAAAAAAAAAAAAAAATCTCTCCTGATATCGATTGCATCTATGTTTTCTTAACCTGGATTCTGGTGTGGTTAGATAATAATTTCCCAACGATGTTTTATTCTCGTTTGCTGTTGAAATGTGTCGTGCAGTGACGATTGGCACAATGGTGCAACCTTTGAATTGAACGAACAGCGTCTTTTGGCAATGATGGCTGCAGAACGACATTTCCTCGACACAGACTATGATGAATATTCCGACTCTAATTCCAGTGGATCCGCTTTTTGTCGGTCTGCTGCTCTCATTGTAAGCCATAGCTTCTCGTGGCACGTTTAAAAGGTTTGAAAATTCGTTTACGTATAAAAATGACAACGAAACGAAAAAAGGCAATGCAGCCGGTTTTGCTGTGGAATTATATCTAAGGTTTTCTTTCTTTGAGCATAAAATGTACAGTCTATGGAACCAATGTTAATGCCATTGTTAATCTTCTTGATGTTGCAGCTAATGGCACTTTTACTGTTACGACATGCTCTGAACCTCACAACCAACTCGGACGAAGAAGATGATGATCCAACTACCTTCTTCTCTGTATGTTACGTTATATATGCGCATATACATATATGTAATCGAACATTTATCGTTATTTTCAGCATTAGTATTGTTGATTTCCTTTTTCGTTTCATTGGGGCTTTTTTTTTTAACATTACCAGCTTTTCCTGCTTCGGGCTATGGCTTTTCTCCTCCCCTGTTACATCATGGCTTGGGCCATCAATGTCCTGAAACGATGGAGGCATAGACAGGTAATCTCTTCTGTGATCAGATGGATTCTCATCTTATCCAACATGTTCCCGTGCAAAGTTTGCGATGAATTCTTCGCCGACATCTGCAAGAACGATGTCCCAAGGATGTCGTATCGTCCAAACTCTTAAAATATATCAACTTTGCATCGATACAACCCTTGGTTTTCGTGAGATCAGGAAGCAGCGGCAATGGTGGCGGCGGAAGTGGCATTCGTGTTGCACGGAGGGCAAGGTGGCCGGGAACTGCATTTCACGGTGGCAGCCGAAACCGTATCCAACCACCCCCGGCTAGAGCCATCCTCACAGGGATCCGACCAGACTTGTCTATAGAGTGGGTGTCCTCTTGCACAGAATGCTGTCTGAAAGCTCGAGAATTTATCTCCTCTGTGTCTGTGTCTATGTTGGATGCTTCAAACGAGATGGATGGTATGTCAGATCGTTCGCTTCTCCTTCTTCTTCTTTTTTCCCGGAGCCATGGAATCTGATCGTAGCAGGACCGAGGAAAACTATGTAAATAAAAACAGCCGTTGGAGGGGAAGAAGAAGAAGAAGTTGATGATGATGATAAACATTGTTTCTGTCTCTGCTCTCATTTCCTGATGCCAAGTCTATTCTCACTTGTCTTTAATTGCACGTGTAGAATCACACACACACACACACGCGTGTATATATATATATATATATATATATAGAGAGAGAGAGAGAGAGAGAGAAGGAATCGATCTAAAACATTGAATTTATGTCTCTTTAAATCTTTGAGTTTATTAGAGGAGAAGGGTAATTGGCGGTCTGTTTCATATACTCGTGAAACCACAAAATGAAATTACTACATATCCTAAATTTGGTGGTGTATAATATATATATATATATATACATCCGACCCGAAATATCCGATTTTCTCTCTCTGATAATTTCAATGGAACTCACGGGGAAAGAAGAAAAGAGTGAAAGTGGAATAAGTCAAAAGGGTGGGGTTGAAAATCTGAACTGAAAATCTATCGGTGTTTATCATTTAAGGAGAAACCTCAAACCCCTTCACATGCTCTGCATTAATTATACCCACTTCTGTTTTTTTAAATATTTATAATTATTTTTGCTTATTTCCAAAGTTCCTCCTCCTACTAGATTTTTCTCCTCCATTAATTATGATATATATAATTACATCTGTATCCATATGTGCGTGTGTGTGTATGTTACGTGTGTACATGTGATGCAAACTTCTTCTAATTATGATCTCTAATTCTCTATTACATATCTTTATGAATTATTATGTGTCCCCACAAGCATTTTAGCTTTCAAGCTCATCACACTTTCGACATCACTTTGATGAGTTAATTTCTTAATATATTATTTCTCCTTATATTTTATATATTCTGATGATCGACGACCGACTAATTAAAATCTTAGTGTATGTACGGATTGATGAAAGATGTAATACGTCACTTGAAATGCAAAATACCTCACAATTTAAAGAGAATTGTTAATCGCCACATTATGTATCCAAGTTGGTAGGTGGAAGATATCCGCATTACCCATTTAATTATACTTTTTTTTTCCACATTTATTATTGATTTGAAACCCAAAAAAATGGTTATATATATATATATATATGATAATTTTAACAATTTTTTTAAACCAATGCAAACAAAATGAAGCACAAAGCATAACATATTATGTTAATAGAGATGTACACTTTGTGTTCTTCCACATAGGAGAAATCTAAAAGAGACAAAAAAAAACGGTAGGTCTCCTTGAGCTAAAACCACCAAAAAGGCTATAAACCCTAATTACGACACAAATATAGTAAACACCCTTGACTTAAAAGATTAATTAATTAATTAGCTTCCCAAGTTTCTTGATTTTCATCTCTAGAACAGCCCTTCTTGACCATCTAACGACAGGTTAATCATGTCGTAACCTTGATCATCAAACAGCCATTTCTCTAGCAGTGACAAAGACCCTTGTGATACTAATGCATTGTCGGATATCGTCGGCTTGGCTTCGTAATCTTGGAAGAAGCTTGTCTCCGGTGTCAAAGTCAGAGTCTCATCCATAGACGTGGACTCTAGGCTCGTCGAGTTGAAGCCAAAGGAAGACTGGTCGAATCCTTCGGTGGTGGTGGGGCTCGACGTCACTGTGGCTGGGAGGTTTCTCCGAGCTGCAGCAATGGCGGTGGGTCCGGTTTCAGACGCAGGAGACGACGACTTTGGAGTGTCTTTCATGAAGTTTTTAAGCAACCGAGCGATGTTCTCTGCACTAGACGCGTATACGCCCGATGGGTTTGGATTAGCGTTGCTTGTGGTGGTGGAGGAAGATGAAGATGATGGGTCAAAACGTTCGATTTGGAAATTAGGGTTTTGGAGCGTTGATGGCGGTGATAATGATGATGAGGATGAGGATGATAGCGTTGATGGTAGTTTGTCAAATGACAAGGCCTCACAAAGGGCTTGTTTTGCCATGTTGATGTCCGTCTGAAGCCTTCTCTCCCATTGTCCCTTGTTCGATGTCTGATGGTGATTCTGAGAATTAGGGTTTGATGAAGATAAGCCCCCGTATCCACTAGAATCATCTCCTGAACCG